CATGCTTCTATTCGGTCAAAAGACCCACTAATATACAATAAATGTTAGTAGTTTTATTATCAATATTAGTATTATTTTCGTTTTTTTTTTTTCTTGAATTTCCTTTACTGGTGTATTATATATATCTACAAAACACAATCGTATATATATATATATATATATATATATATATATATATATATATATATATATATATATATATATATATATATATATATATATATATATATTATCACGTTATTTTAATAGACACCCGTATTTGAGTAAACACTCCGTGTATTTATTAAACAATATCTTTATTTATTTTACTCTACCGACTTGAATCTTCAAGAAATCTTATGTAACAAAAATTTGCCCTCTCCAGCAAGATTCGGACCAGCGTCATCCTGGGTAGAGTTATGGGATTAATAAAAATAAAAAAATAAGTCTCTTAGCAAATTGATGTTATGTTTAGATATTGAGAGAGTTAAAGAGAGAGCGTGAGAGAGTTAGTGAGATAGAAACCATTTTAGAGAGGAAGGAAGTAAAACTTCTACGTAGAATATGGCCGATGCCCAAAATAGAAAAAATTAACTCCTAATTGTTTCAAAACAAACTATAATCACAGGAAATAAACAAAATTTAAACAAATAGATAAAAATGAATGAGTGTAGCACAGTAAATTCCCTTTGATTTATTTAAATGTTTTAGTCTTTTGGGTAAACTTGTAGACTGCATTTTATAGAAAAGTCAATGATATTACATTTAATGTTGATGGCTTCAACCTGTTGATGAATATTTGAAAAATATTTCCTAGCTAGTTAAGATTTAGCTTATGACTAAATATTTATTGAAGACTTCACATCCAAAACATGATCTGGACAAGATATGAACTTGATAGACTTTAATCTAAGACACCTTTTGCTGATCTTTGTAGCGTTACGGGAACGTTTTGCTAATAAAAAAAAAAGAAAAAGTTTATACTTTCTCTTTAGGAAGCAATTTTCTAATTGTGGGAAGAAAATATTTCTGAATTATTCCCATGTATTCCAATGTAATGGGTTTATTATTTTATTTTTTGCCCATTTTAATTATTTAATTTTTTTTTGAATATTATTGATGTACGAAAAACTTTTATAATTGCAACTTTTGCGATATATTTTATATATATATATAGAGAGATATTTTTATGTTTATACATTATTTTTATAAATACAAATATTTAAGTAAATGTTCTGTTTTATAATAAATAGTATTAATAACATTTACCGGCCTGAATGTCCGAGAAATTTTCCTAGAAAAATGCTACAGGAACCTGTATCCTATTCTAAAAAGAATGTATAAACATAAAAATGTCTTAAAATAATTGTTGGAAGTGTTCATTCATTTCATAATATATATATATATATATGTTGGTCGTATCTAAAATTTCAATTTATCTAGACATGAATTAATAACCCACCTACCTGCACATTCTGACCTTATTTTTCATTTCCCCTTTAAGCTTAGATCTGTCACTTGATTGGTTAATCCAGACATGCCCACAAGTATGTATTTTTTTTAATTTTGAAAATGGGGTTTCCCCCTCATCCCTTTTTAACTTTTAAATGAGTTAATGATTTGTTTTCCTCGTAGGTTATCTATCATCGACCGGTGAAAAAACATTATACTTCCGAAATACAAACGTTTTTCTTTAGAGATGTAAAATATTATAATAAAAATATTATATTATAATATATATATATATATATATATATATATATATATATATATATATATATATATATATATATATATATATGAATATCAGTATCTATCAAAATAACATATAAACAAAATCAATTAAAATAAAAAATATGTCGGATTTAATCGATTTCGTAATATAAAAAGTATTTGTTTACATTAGGATACGAAACAGCAGATAGATGGTTTGAGAATCGGCATAGGTGTGTGTTCAAAGACACTATTCGGGCTTTGTTTGATCGGAAGTTGACGTGGTCGAGCGGTTAAGGCACATCAGATCCATATATATATATATATATATATATATATATATATATATATATATATATATATATATATATAAAAGTGAATATAAAGTCAACACTTAGAGGCGACAGTCTGTTTCATGCTAGATGCAATCATCAGGTGGCCTGACAATTGCATCTAGCATGAAACAGACTGTCGCCTCTAAGTGTTGACTTCTATGTTCACTTTATATTTACACACACTATCTCTGATATTGAGCACTTTGTCCCATAAATATAGCACATCTTAAGACTATATTTCTTCATATATATATATATATATATATATATATATATATATATATATATATTATGAAATGGACAAAGTCCGACAATTATTTTAAGACATTGTTATATTTATATATTCTTTTTTATAGATACAAAGCATTTACTTAAATATTTGTATCTTTAAAAAGAATGTATAGACATAAAATTATACATATATATATATATATATATATATATATATATATATAAAATATGGTTTTGGGTTCTGGGTTACCAAAGAGGACTGTTTGTCAGCGAAGGATAGAGAGCTTAGTTCACATGCTGTTTAATCCATAAACTTGCTGTTTCTTTTTCCCATGTTGATACATGCCTTTCTGAAAAATACTAGCGTCAATGTGAAGCCATTAGACTTGCCTGGAATTTGAAACTTGAACACTACTTGCCGATTCTATTTTCTATTTTCCTCTACGCTATTCGTTACATAACTCACACCTCCATATATACATACACACACACATATATATATATATATATATATATATATATATATATATATATATATATATGTGTGTGTGTGTGTGTGTGTGTGTGTGTGTGTGTGTGTGTGTGCATTTATGTGTGTTTTAGACAGCAATCCTTCTTTTAGGCACATTTCATCGAATAGCCTTTTTTTTTTACATGTAGATGATGCTATTATATTTTTTGTTGTCAACAAGTATGTTATGAAAAAGGCTAAAAATAAGGGAAGCCTTATAAATAAAAACAAAAAACAACACTCGATAATATCAACTATGAACATGGACTCAATATCTTGACCGTGTTTTGAAAATGAAAATATTATATAAATACGTACTTACAACAAACTATTTCTTGTTAACAGCTAATATATTTCAACCTTGAAAATGGCTAAATGTATAGCCGAAAACGCTCGGATAAAAAGAACATTCTAACAGTTTTTATACAATTTATCATACTAAAAGAAAAAAATTATTAGATCGCATGAGAAATTATAAAAAATCTAAATTAAAGCACCTTGTCTGTCGTATTCAATGAAATGTGTATATATATGTGTGTGTGTGTGTGTGTGTCTGTCTGTCAATCTGTGTGTATATATATATATATATATATATATATATAGATAGATAGATAGATAGATAGATAGATACTGTTAAGGGGTCCACCCCTTTTTCATACAAGTGGATTCGCTCAGTGTGTACTTGTACTGCTGCCGGTGAATACCCGGGGTGACAGGGATACAGTGAGATAGTGAGAGTCTGAGGTAACCGCTTTGTAGGAGTCACAGTTGCGAGCACGTAGACTCAGAAGGACGTCCTACTTCGATACTGAATTTCCCAGACTGTATATATATATTATTATTGCTACTAACCGCATTTCTGGATCTACTAACCGTATTGCTAATTGTATTATTACGTCAATATATTTATTTGCTATATTTCATTCCTGCGTTTGTCATTCATTTGAAACCGGATTTCATCCCAGAATCCACAACATATACATTAATTCAGCACCTTATATATTGAAATTTTTTAAAACAGCATAGATGTTTTTTTATGAGTGAGAAGAATACATGGACAGCAAATTAAGAAGACAAAATATAACGATTAACATTGCATTTAAACTTTTGAAAAACAAACTTGACTGCAAAGCAAGACGACGGAAGAAGTTTCTACAAGCGAGAAGTGCGAGAAAAGAAATTGGTTGAAAAGCTGGGCTAAAGATTGGCCTGATACTTTTAATGCCTTTAACACTGCTCTCTGAGAGACACTCTTGCGCCTTCTGTGAGTCGATGGGCTTTCTTTGGCAAATATTTTCAGCTGACATGAAGGTGAAAGACTATATTGTATTCATTACTAGGTCTGCCATTAAGAAAGTTGTTTCACTATGTCGTGCTAGACAGTTTTTTTCTCTCCAGAATCTATCTTATGTATCTATAAGTCTACCATTCGTTTCTGTATAGTATATGACCGCCACATATGGACAGGTGACCCTGCCATATATTTAGAGATCCTTGATAAATTTCAAAGAAAAATCGACAATATTACTGGATCTAACCTGGCGACTCGGCTTCAGTTACTTTCCTACCGTCGTAAAGTTGCCTACCTGTGCCTTTTCTATAAATACTTCCATGATAATTGTTCGGCTGAAAACTTCGTTATTGTAGCTATATTTATGAATTTAAGCGCAGTACTAGATTGGCAATGAGGTCTCATCAATTTACACTAGAGCTGGCTAGATGTAACATTACCTTTTCTCACATTTCTTTCTTCCAGATCTACAATTTCCAGTGAACTTTAATCTTCAAAAATTTAAATGCAACGTCTATCACTATCTACTGTCCTCCCAATTGCTCTTCTATTGTTCTTGCTCTTTAGTAACGTTTCTGCTTTCTAATTCTTTCCCATCCGGGTAGCTGCATGGCGTCTTAGTGGCATTTCGGCCTTGTTTGGGGTGAATTCGTTTAAAAAAAAAAAGAACTTACGGTTACATTTATCCATTTCAACTGTAAAATGATGTGATCATACCGCCAATCGGTTACTACACCATTAGTAAAGTTTCAGTACCATAGGGAATAGTTCTTCAGGCCAATTACCATGAAAGTATTTATAGAAAAGGCAGAGAGAAGCTACATTACGGTGATGGGAAAGTGACTGAAGCCAAGATGTCAGAACAAGACTGCACCAAAATAGGAAAGCTCATCAGAACAATTACCATGAAAGGATTTATAGAAAAGGCAGAGAGAAGCTACATTACGGTGATGGGAAAGTGACTGAAGCCGAGATGCCAGGTCAAGACTGTACCAAAGAGGAAAGCTCATCAGAACAATTACCATGAAAGTATTTATAGAAAAGGCAGAGAGAAGCTACATTACGGTGATGGGAAAGTGACTGAAGCCAAGATGTCAGAACAAGACTGCACCAAAATAGGAAAAAGCTCATCAGAACAATTACCATGAAAGGATTTATAGAAAAGGCAGAGAGAAGCTACATTACGGTGATGGGAAAGTGACTGAAGCCGAGATGCCAGGTCAAGACTGTACCAAAGAGGAAAGCTCATCAGAACAATTACCATGAAAGGATTTATAGAAAAGGCAGAGAGAAGCTACATTACGGTGATGGGAAAGTGACTGAAGCCGAGATGCCAGGTCAAGACTGTACCAAAGAGGAAAGCTCATCAGAACAATTACCATGAAAGTATTTATAGAAAAGGCACAGAGAAGCTACATTACGGTGATGGGAAAGGGACGGAAGCCGAGATGCCAGGTGAAGACTGTACCAAAGACGAAAGCTCATCAGAACAATTATCATGAAAGTATTTATAGAAAAGTCACAGAGTAGCTATATTACGGTGATGGGAAACTGATTGAAGCCGAGATTCCAGGTCCCGACAAATAACATTAAAATGTGCGAGTAATTTTATGCACGCTCGCTCATTTGTGTGTGTGTGTGTGTGAGAGAGAGAGAGAGAAAGAGTTCCTATCGGAATCTCAAGCGCTTTCTCGAAAGTAATGAAACATGCGTTCGATACTCATTTCAATTGATAACCTCAAAATTGTGAATTTCAATGTGCTCAAAATTTGCAAGACAAAAAAAAAGGCAATATTATTAGTATTTTTACTCCCGTCATTCGTTGCAATAAAAAAATTAATAACATCAACCATAATATGATAATCGATATTCCCAATAAATGTTATAAATGTTTTAAATGAAACTTTTCTTTTGTACTTGACAGCGCAATTTTCATATAGATCTTCGGGAACAAGATTATATTTGGTTGGGACATTTACATTGATGAGCTAAAATATTATAACTAGCACTATGATATAAGAATAACAGTTACTAGATCGTAATTTTCTTTCTTTTTATGTGCCGTGTGTACTTCCCCCTACCCCTTGTAACTCCCAATTAGTTTCGTCCCTGTGCCACCTCCCCACAGACCACGTTCTGTCATCCACTTGTTTAAGCTCGCCAGGTATGTCGTTCATTGCTTTCCTTTGTCTCACTTTCTCTCTATTCGCCCTGCGAGTATAAGATTTTCCAAGCCCTCATTTCTCATTACGTGTCCCAGGAATTTCAGCTGCCTCTTGCTGGTGTTCAGTATAAGCTTCCTCCTTGTTTGCATCCCCTCCAAAAACGCATCGTTGCTCACACGCTCGCTCCATGATATCCTTAGCATCCTTCTGTAGAACAATACTTCCGTTGCCTCGAGTCCCTTCGTCGTCTTTGAGGAGACCGTCCAGCAATAGCTGCATTAATTACTGAATTCAACAATTCTTATTTTCATTCCATGAAAGTTGCAATTTTATAGGAACTGTTTCAGGTATATTGAAGGAGATTACATTTTGTTTATTTACTCTATTTTCATTCGTACGGTTGTCCTGGTCTTTGTTGTTGTTGTCACAATGTTTCGGTCGTTTTGCTCTCCGGCCTTCATCAGATTTTATCGATCCGAGTAAACTACAGGCAACCATTTCTTTCTGCGATAGACCAGTTGCCAAAGCTATGGAACCTGGTTTCTTATTTACACATAGCTGGGTGGAGAAGAAGAGGATTCATACCTTTCACAACGGTATTACCACGTAAGTGAATGCAATAGATTCGACTGGAATTCGAACTCGGCTCTCCGATTCTTCAATCATTACGCCACCGTGCCTCCCTAGGAAATTTAATATAACCTCTATAGGAAATTTAATATAACCAGTAACTGAGCACTCTTTTATTTATTACTAAAGACGCTTTTCTATAACTTAATCCTTCCTTAGTGTAAATATTTCTGATATGATGTTTACATAAAACGAATCTGCAATGTCCTTATTTTGCACAACCACTCTTAAAAGTCTTTCCCCTTCAGGTACCAGAAGATCATAGTTCTCCACAACTTCCTATTTTTGTTGCTATAAGTAAGTTTTGACCAGTCACCATCCCTTTTATTCCTCTTCAAGTAATATTAGCAGATTTCTTCTCAGGAATATTAATAATGGTAATATTAAACCACTGTGGTATAAAGTGAAATTAATGGACAAAGAAGAACAGTTTATTTACTCTATTCAAATTCGGATAATTGTCCTGGTCTTTGTTGTTGTTGTCCCAATATTTCGGTCGTTGTGTTCTCCCGCCTTCATCAGATGTATAGTAAAGGATGATATGTGTTAATACCACTGAGTCATGAAAGAATTTTTAGTCCTACCAATATATAACTTTTCAACCGTCGGATTCTCTGTTGTAGAAAGATAAACAAGAGATTCAGTTAGACATTTGTTTGGCAATGGGCATTGGTCAGAATTCCTACAATTACACTGGCCAGTATCATTAATAATATTTTTTGGAACTTGTATTATGATACAGATTATTAAATTGGTTTTAAATTTTATTATTGTGTAACTTTATGATCATCTCAAGATTATTAGTGTAACTATAGCTTAATTTTAATGTGTTTCTGTCAAATATTTTATTAAGAGGGTTACTTTTAAGAAAATGTTTATCAATAAATTGGAAAAGCTTCTGGCCTAACTTAGTACTAACTAATTGATTAAATGGGCGGGAATACCAAATGATCTTTCTATTTCTATTTCTTTTCTTTCTACCGCTATCATCGTATTTTCTAAACTGGATTTTAGCTCTCTTACAAACACTATTCTTTAGACCTTTATTACACACACCGTTATATTTATCAAACACATATTTGACCAATCAGTGGTTGCAATGCCTACGTTCTAGAGACGAAGGTATTTTCCGTGCTGCCATTAACTGCAAATCTACGGGTCATGACCAATTTTAAAAAATAATTTTTTTAATTTTTGCTGCTTCGCTTACTTTAAATTTAAACAGGTTATATTTGATTGGGTAATCAGAGTAACACCTGCAAATCTTTTGACCTCACTTTTTCATAAAAAGAGGTTGTATTCTGATTTTAAATCTAAATAAATCGTTCACTCGCTAGTACATTACAATCGCCTGATGAGATGCATTGATACGCATGGAAACACGACTGTAATTGTGTAGCGATTTTGACATGTTTTTCAGTGTAATATATATATATATATATAATATATATATATATATATATATATATGTAATATATATATATATATATTATATATGTTATATATATATATATATAATAAATTTTTCATATAGACAAAAACAATTTACACTACACTTCGTTTCAGTGCATTTAATTGCACTTCAACACGAAACGAAGTTGCATTTTTGTAGTGAGTAAATTGTTTTTGCCTATATGAAAAAAATTATAATAAATAATTATTGCTCTACTATCGGTATTGAGTCCTCTATTGAATTAATGCTGTGAATGTTAGAATTTATATATTATTTTCGTTCTCATTACATTCAGGTATATATATATATATATATATATATATATATATATATATATATATAAAGTGAACATAAAAGTCAACACTTAGGGCGACAGTCTGTTTTTAGATGCAATCGTCAGGTGGCCTGACAATTGCATCTAGCATGAAACAGACTGTCGCCTCTAAGTGTTGACTTCAATGTTCACTTTTATATTTACACACGCTCTATCTCTGATATTGATCACTTTATCCCATAAATATAGCACATCTTAAAACTATATTTATATATAGACAGAGAGAGAGAGAGAGAGAGAGAGAGAGAGAGAGAGAGAGAGAGAGATAATATCAGACCCGTAAGTGGAAAGGATAATCCAAGTGATTCTTTTTTTAATACAAAAATACCATATTTTCGTGATGTGTTAAGCTCTTTTCCTTTATATATATATATATATATATATATATATATATATATATATATATATATATATATATATATATATATATATATGCTTCGAGAGGCTAAAGTGCAAATGCAGCTTTAGATACATGTCTACTAAAGACTAGAAAACTCTTGTTCCCTTTTTCTTTCCCGCCAACTTTTACTGTATATATGAAATTCGAGAAGAAATAACATCATCATCAACAACAGCAACAATAATAATAATATTCATTGTATATTATTAATGCATATTATATTGCACATCGGAATTCTAAAATATAATATATAATGTTAATAAGTACAAATTTCATATTTTTCTGTTATATTCGAATATTTTCGACTACGTGCAACATCTCATTCGATAAGTGGAAAAATATAAAAGGTTGAATATACAGACCTTGGTGGTGTATAATTAAACTTATATATATGGCGTCGTATAATAAAACTTATATATATGGCGTCGTGATCGCTTCAAATTACAATTGAGTTGGCTAGATGTAACCTTAAATTCTATGCTAAGAGCTTCTTTTCACGCGTTCACTTATGGAACTCCCTTCCGGTTCCATGCTTTCCAAACAACTTTAATGTGCAAAAAATTTAAATACACTGTCAATCGGTATCTAATATCCTCCTGATTACTCTTTCACCTCTAATGTTTTCTGTTACTAATTCTTCCACACCCTCTAACCCATTGTGTTTTAGTGGTAACAGTCTGTTTCATACTTGAACGCGATCTCCACACAAGGCATGTCGTATTGTGGTTTGACTATTTATATATGCTGGTCAAAGGGTTATTATTGGTAGAAAGTTCAGGTATTTATCTTGTATTATCTTAATGGTTATTGGTTATGCGTCAACGGTTATATTTCAAATTACTCTAAAGGCTACTGAGTAGAAATAATTGTTAGTATTTGGTTATGTGTAGCTATTGTGTAGTGATGTTTGTTAACTTTTAACTCATCATTTTTTATTGATTACTTAGGGCAGGGTTTCACACGTGGCACGCCAAACAATTTCCAATGGCACGCAGCCGTAAACGACATCACGAAGTCCGAACCAATAAATACTACAACGCAAAGAATATATTTAGCTGTTTTAATTTTAATATATGCTAAAGTATATATACTATATATTACTATATAAAATATATTGTACAACAGGTATATTGAATTGTATAAAAATACGTATATTGTTGGCACACTGAATGATTTTAAAACACAAAGTCAGCACATAGTTAGCAAAGAGTTGCCGACACCTGGCTTAGGTTATTTTGTATTTATTCATTAATTATTTGATGTTGATTATTATTTTTATATATGCTTAGTTTGTCGCAATGCGTGCATTCGTAGTTTGTTAATTTGTTTATTATTAATTGTATTTATTTGTTTAATTATTTGGCGTGGGGTTGCTTGGTTATCTTACTTGTTTACTTTAAAATATAGGCAATGTCTAAAGTACGTTATATTATCCGCGTTGTAAATAGTACATATATTTGCAATTTTCTTGATGTTTTATAAGGTAATTTGTGTTGGTCTAGGACGGTGAATGATTATAGCTATTTTCTCTTCTAGACAACGTTTACAGAGTATGGATTTATTGTTGTATGCTAATGTTCTTTTCATTATTTTCCATGGTAGTTTTGGTGAATTTACTTTTTAATTTCCCATATATATTTAGAAATGGCTGTGCTGTTACCGTATTTTCTATTGGCAAAGAATTTTTGTGTGCGTATTTTCTATATGCAAAGTCTTTCAGGTAATTCTATGTATGTTTGTGTGCCAGTGCTTCGTTTGTCTGTGTCTTCAAGTTTATATATATATATATATATATATATATATATATATATATATATATATATATATAAAAGAAAGATTTTGTATTAAAGTTGTATTAAATTCATTCGATAAGGTACGTCTACAGAGTTTGTTTTCCAGTTTTCGAATAAGATGTTGCACACTTTACGGCTCAGAATTAAGAACAAAGTGTCCACAATTCATGTTTTATTTTGCTTTTGCTCAGGTACGTTTGAACTAAGTTTTGTTAGTACCGTAAACAAATCTTTGTTAGCTACATTATGGTAAATTCGGAAAACGTTATTTCCAATTTAAATATATGTGTATCGACATGTGACGACACTTGTAAAACGGTTTCATAGATCTTGGAGATGTGTATAATGCAGTCTCATGGAGGTTGTTTATTTTGTAAAATAATAGTTTTTATGATTTTGAGTTTTTTATATGCTCTATAGTATATTTGGTATTATCTACTAATATTTGTCTTGTGTTAATTGTTGTATATTGTTGTTTGCTTCTATGATGATCGTCATTTACATGAATTTCTCTAATTTTCGATAAGTGTAAAGTTAACCTACCGGATAATGTCGTACTTGTGTGATCAATGTAAGAATTTAATGCTTTAAGATTATTGGTATTAGAGATGCAACCTCCCAAATGATTTGAGTATAACATTCTCCAAAATCATTGTCTACAATACTGACAGCATTTATTTGAAGATAGAGTTGATCAAAAGTACTCAAACAAAAAGAAAATAAAAAATCAACTTTGAACAGACTGTCCACAATTTTATTTCAGATGTGCAACAATTCATTCGAAAATTTGAAGTGAGATAATGACATTTAAACATATAGTCTTTGTCGTCTGAATTTAATAACAAATTACTTAAATGAATTGATGTTTTCTAAATGTATATTATGTATTTCTGCATGTATGTGTACGTTTGTGTGTGTGTGTGTGTATAAGAGTGGAGATTTATACAAAAATTATTGCTTATGCTAAGAGGTCGGATTGTCGACTGACATATTATCTATGTCATTCTGAAAAAGTTCCTATGGAAGATCTCCTGTGGTTCACAAAGTAATTCCCGAAAGAATGATTGAAGTCTGACAATCAGACGTAAAACATGGCTCATGGGAATTAAAATTTACCATTTTCACTAAAATGCCTCGATCCATAGCTTAACTTTTATACAATAGCGTATATTTATTACTGCTGCCATTGTTTCACACCTGCCTCCTATTTTAGCTTTGCATATTATCGGCATAATTTCACTTTATAATTTCATTACAAATGATAGATAGATAGATAGATAGATAGATAGATAGATAGATAGATAGATAGATAACATAATGCAATAGATACATATGATCAGAAGGGAAGAGATAGATAGATAGATAGATAGATAGATAGATAGATAGATAGATAGATAGATAGATAGATAAGAGAATGCAATAGATATATATGAACAGAATTAAATAGATAGATAGATAGATAGATAGATAGATAGATAGATAGATAGATAAGAGAATGCAATAGATATATATGAACAGAATCAAATAGATAGATAGATAGATAGATAGATAGATAGATAGATAGATAGATAGATAAAGAACATTATGCAATAGATACACATGAACAGAATGAGATAGATAGATAGATAGATAGATAGATAGATAGATGCGACAGGCTGTTTCATACTAGACGCAATCTCTATCTCTGATACTGAGCCCTTTATCCCTTAAATATAGCACATCTTAAGACTATATTTCTTCATATATATATATATATATATATATATATATATATATATATATATATATATAATTATTTTTTATAAAAATTTATAACATAAATGTATGTTATAAAATCACTTAAAATAGCCATTTTTCAACACACTCACTTGATAAGACACAGAGTGTGTTGAAACAAAATGGCTATTTTTGTAGTGATTTTATAACATACTTATGTTATAAATTTTTTATAAAAATAATTATATCTGCTCTACTTTGTATTGAGCACTCTTTTAAGAATAGTAATTGTTGGTTATTGGAATTCATTCCGTGTATACCAATTATATACTTTGATATATATATATATATATATACACTGAGAGTAAAAAAAATACAAAGCAAACCACACTCAACAAATTTACATTTTAACCTAGTCACAACATATTAGAATGCATTTAAACAAATAGTTCTCTTGATAACATTTCTTTCTCTCGCGTGGTCATGTACAACATCATAGAACTGCATTAAAAATTTACGAACTGCGACTGCTATTCCGCGATCGTTATCGTCGAACAGCAGGCGTCTATGTAAAATAACACGATGTCATCTTTGATGGGGAACATCTCTGTTGTAATGTCTATATAACCACATCTGATGATGGCTCATGGGACACGAATGCTTAGATCGACGAGAAATATAATAAAGAAATATCCAAATGTTGGACATTAGTTGTTTGTTATTTATATATATATATATATATATATATATATATATATATATATATATATGATGGGTAACTGAATGACAAAATGGAAAATGCTATGTGACGCATTTCGTACATCAAATGAACCTCTTCAGACTAACTCATATATTGTATCATATATATATATATATATATATATATATATATATATATATATATATATATATATCTATCGGTGTGTGTGTGTCTGTGTATCTGTGCCTGTGTCGCCGTGTGGTTAGGGAGAGGTGATGAGATAGAAATACATGACGGTTATAACTACACATCCAGAGATACACTAAAAATACCACGCCGCTTACTGAATCCTCCCCTGGTAAATCTCACATTATTCTTGCAGAATATCATCTTCAGTAACAAAACTAATGCCATTAAAATGTAGTTATATTCTTTTTTTCTAAAGTCATAGGAAGCTGAATATGGCCGCCAAGTTTTTTTTAAATGTAGACGCGTTGTCCCCAGAAATGTAGAAGCGTCGTCCCCAGAAATTACAAATTACAAATCTACTGTTAAGTGTCTCTCTCAGTATATAATTATAATTAATGTTTGTTTCGAGTTCGTTCACTCCCCTTACATATATATGAATACCTTAATAAAATATTATTTAATTTGAATGGACTACTCGCATCACATTTTGTCATTTAGATACCCGCCATTTGTCTGAGATATAAACTTCATATATGATATTCACCCATAACTGTTGAAACCCCTCCCGACTAAACTGAAGGATTACAAAAAGGTTCGTCGACGAAACTTTGGAGTCGAGCTACAGAATGTAACATTGATGAGCTAAGTAAAAAAAATCAAATTGTATTAATCCCTCTTTTCTCTCACCCACCCTCTCTCCCTCTGTATATATATATATATATATATATATATATATATATATATATATATATATATTGTTATTAAAAGTTACTTTATTTTAATAAATTCATTTCGTTTTTGCCTTGAAAAATCCACATTAGCCGAAACGCGTCGGCTAATATTACAGTTTTCCTATTGTCTTTTACATTTATATATATATATATTTATAAATATAAAAGACAATAGGAAAACTGTAACTGCCAATGCGTTTCGTCCAATTTGTACTTTTTTAAGGCAAAAACGAAACGAATTTATTAAAAACAAAGTAACTATTAACGACAAAAGAAGCTGTCCTTAGAAACTGGAAGAGAATTAGAAAACGCTATTGTATTCATATTGTCAACTAAAAATTAAGTCAAGTTTTGTTATTAAAAGTTACTTTGTTTTAATAAATTCATTTCGCTTTTGTCTTGAAAAATTCCACATTGGACGAAACGCGTCGGCTAATATTACAGTTTTCCTATTGTCTTTTACATTCATATATATATATATATATATATATATATATATATATATATATATATGAGCAAAATTTGTCACTTAGCTGATTGATGTTACCTTCAGTATCCCGACTCCAGAGTTTCGTAGACAGACCCGTCCATCCACTCTTCAGTGGGTATCAGCAATTTACTGCTTATATTTCTTGATTTTTCTTTTTTATGCACTTATCATTGATGCAAGTTTTTTTTTTCTGTATTGTTTGTGTGTGTGTGTGGGGGGGTGCATGTGCGTGTCAGGGAGTGTGTACATGTGCGTGTGTTTGTCTCAGACTAATACTAAGCAAATGATTAACTCGACAGAGAATTGTGTATTGCTATAATGAACTGACCCGCGTTCTTATGTAATAAAAATAATAAACAGAATTTGGAAACGATGTTAAAGCATCATGTTAAATATCCATCTATGTATTAAAGATATATTTTATTTAAATTCCGTGTAATTTCAGATTGAAATTATTTTTTTTTTATATTCACGATAATACTGTAATCTGTGTTAATCTAGATTATTTGAAATTTATTTTATTCTTTCTAATTAAAACAGATGTATACCGATCCTGACGTATGGTATATGAATTCTGTTATAACTTTTTTTTTTTTTTAAGTAAGTTTTTCTCAATAGTAATCTAAAAATATTTATTAAAGACTTTGCTTATATACTTACACGTTTTGCTTTAAGCTCAAAATCACTAAGTTCACCTCATTATTTATTATTAGACTGAGAAATGTATATTATCAAACAGAAGCTTCTGTTTAATCATTTACAATCCTGATCTCTTTAACAATCAGATCGAATTTTACACGTAATTTAAACAAAATCAATGATATTTTTAAATCATACACACCAAACAAGACGATAATACCACAAAGACACAAGGTGCAATAGGCAAATATTAGTGAGAAAAAAAGACTATAAAATGAATCAAAAACCCAATACTAAACAGTGAAAAAGGGATAAACCTACTAGAGTTCAAAAGACAGAAGAGGAGTGTGAACCGGATCACGGGTGAATTTATCTATTCCTATTAAACATTTTTCTTCAAATTAGAAGAGCACGATTTTGTTATTAGGTCGACTTTAGAGAAACATACGGTGTATAGTGTTAAAGAATCTCCTCGAATTAATTGACATTATGCAGTATATAGAATAGCAAAAGAAAATCTGCAATATTATTAGTCCGGACCTGGCATCTCGGCAATATGCAATATTCAAATTGAAGAAGACAAACATAAACTGCGCTCTTCTCCTAATGTTAATAATAATAATAATAATATAGACATCAACTTCTTAACGATAACTAAAACATTTGGGGCCTGGACATCCCACCTTCTGGCAACTTCAATCCGGGAATCGCTTCATTTCTTGAACTTGTCAATTCCTTTGACCTTGATATTATGATCATCAGGAAAAACAACGTCACTGAAGAACTTTCGTAATAATAATAATAACAATAATGATAATGATTCTTTCTATATTTTCAGAAAGAATCATAAAAAGACATAATAAGAAAATCCTAGAAAAACAAGCATACCCAAACAGTAATAAAACTCATAAACTAAAATTAGATAAAAAAAACGAAAAATTATGTGATTGTAGAAACCCTAAAAACTGCCCGTTGGAAAATAAATGCCTCACAAAATCCGTGGTATACCAATGCACTATCTCATCCATTGAGAGTCCTAACACTGATAGGATATACATAGGATCAACGAAGAATAATTTTAAAATTAGATGGAGGCAACACAAGAGCTCCTTCAACAATATCCAAAATAGAAATCAGACATCCCTATCCCAGTATTTCTGGCATCTAAAAGAAACGAATAAAACACCAAAAGTAAAATGGAAAATAGTAAATAAAACAAGAATTTGTAAAACCTGTGATGACCCATGCCCTTTATGCCTACAGGAAAAACTACACATCATTAAATTCCTAAATAATGAAAAATTATTAAACCATAGGCAGGAGTTAACGGTTTTTTGCCGACATCAACAAACTTTCGCATTAAATAATTAGCATAAAAAAATCCCATAGCTAAATAAAAGTCTTAAAAGCTTGGCCAAATCATTAAATAGGAAAATCCCTTTCTGTAGTCGTCAATAAACAAATTGAAATTCAGTGCAATACGATTTGTATATAAAACACCCATATAAAACACCCATAAACAAATAAATAAATAGATAATCAGATGAACAATAATAAAAGACAATTCTCCTGACACATAACGACTTGTAGGCGCGCCATAAAAATATCTCTCACTGGGAACCAACTAAAGGGTGACCGCAAACATTAGCCTTGAAATAGATACCCTACCCAACCTTAGCAAAACCTCTCAGAAGATGATGAATCTATTGATAAGAATTAACTCTCTGACCACTTAACGAAGAAAAATAGTCTAGCCACTCCCTCAGTAACGAATTTTGTAACGGACCATGCCTAAAAACACACGTAATCCGAGAGATAGCTTATTCCTAAAATTTCGCTTGAAGATGAAACGGGACTAAACACCTCAATTCAACTTAATTTTAATAATTATTTGGATGGTTTCGGCTCCCATTTTTGAAACATGAGAACTCTTATGTAGCGAAGGAATCATATTTTTAAACAAAAAGTATTATTATAATAAAGCTCTACTTCTGTATGGAGCACTGTCTTCTTAAAAATAAAACAAAAATACTAAGGAACCCGGATTATGCACCCAACGTGTTCTTTTTCTATTTTCTGCATACCTGCGCACTTATACATACATATATATATATATATATATATATATATATATATATATATATATAGATAGATAGATAGATAGATAATATTAGTGGTCAATATATATATATATGAAGAA